AGGACAGGCACACCCTTTTTTCTGCAAGATGCTCAGGATGTTGCTTCTTTTTCTTACATTTACAAGTGGGTGCCTATAGAGATTAATAGAGTGATTGTGGTCTGTTTTTAGGTGTTTTGTCTTGTAAGGTTGGGAATGATGCTAGTCTTAGTATTTACAGAGAGACATTTCCTGGAGGAAAGTGGTTCCTCAGTACTCTTAGTCCAGCAACATGTTCTAGATCATTTTATGACTACAACATCTCGTTTTATACCAGTAGCCTGAATATTGGTTCAACTTATAATGTCACTTTGGCTATTTGGAAACAAGTTGGTTCAAAGACCTATGAAAAGGTAGTTGAAATAAGAATATAATATGCATTTAAATTTTAATATTCATTTAAATTATGCATACTGGTATGTATCTAGGACCCTGCTACAATACAACATTATACTTATACCCACACCAATAGTAAGTAAATCAAACAAAACAGTCAGACCCCATGTATGAAACCATCTTTTTATTTTAGATCGACGTAAAAAAAGAGCTACACTAAATACAGCTCCATTCAGTTCAGCAGTTGGTATACGCAAAGGAAGCTTCGTTGGAGCATACCTATATACTACTGCTAATGCATTACCTATTACTGGAATAAGATATACATCTCGTATAGGAGCATGTGTGTCAAAAAATTCAGCATCAGCGACTACAATAACTTGTAGTTTTAACCATTATTATGTAGTACATGCTGAAGCTGATGTTGGTAAGTTGATCTACATTTATTATAGATAAATTATTTGATCTAACCAGTTAAAGTTGACTGTGGTGCTCCACCATCAGTTCTTAATGCTACATACTCTCAATTGGATAATGATACAGAATATGGAGCTAGAGTTCAATACAACTGTAGTACTGGATATAATATTAATGGAAATGATACTATATCATGTCTACTGAATGCATCATGGTCTTCACCAACTCCATCTTGTTCAATAGTAAACTGTGGTAATCCTGGTGAACCAGCTAATGGATATACTAATGATAATGTATTCACTAACTTCACTTCTAATAGCAATCAATACAACTATGGAACTACTGTTAGTTTTAACTGTAATCCTGGATATGGTTTAGTAGGAGTATCAACATTAACATGTACTGCTACTGGTCAATGGAGTAATAACATTCCCCTTTGCATAGGTAAGCAAGGTTACATCAAGAGATGCATAGAACAGTTCATTTACATCACTATCCTTTACCATAAATAATATCAATGTTTTAATAGCTACTACAAGATCGTCATCATCATCAGTAAACTCAGCCACTACACTAAGCACAAGTTCTTCTGTCATGCCCACCACTTCAGTTGATGGTAGTAATAATTTGTTAGTTATTGGTGGAGTCATTGGTGCAATGTTGCTTATTTTACTAATACTAATAGTTGCTATTCCGTTGATAGTTTTATTAGTAGCAAGATCAAAAAGGAACTCTCGTGAACTAAATGATCCTGCTACTACAAATCTTATAAATCCAATAAGTAAGAAATTTTATGAATAAGTCCAATATTTAATTTTGATTTTTATAATTTTTTCAAACTTATATAATTCAATGCCAAATGATTCAAAAGCTGCTCCATCTGAAGAACATTCAACTTCAGACTATGATGATCCTGCTTTAACTTTAAAGCATGAGTCAGTACCGCTACTGTACTCTGAATTAGAATCTTTAAAAAATGAGGTGCTCTTTATAAAATTTGAATCATGTTATTATTGATCATTAATAGGATGACAACAAGTATCCAACTGAGGAAGTGTATGACAATGAGAATATTTCCAATGTGGTCCTACCTCATCCAATTTATTTGGATGTATGTGTATCTAATAAAAAGATTTAATTTACATTAGAAAATGAGTGTAAAACTGTACCAAAATTTAATGCTTGCAAACTTGTCAGTACTAACACTATTATAAGCTTGTTATTGTTA